GCTTTAAAAGACTTGATTCAATTTGGGTGTTAATGCATTCAGCTTTCCATCTTATATTCCTAAAAGATTACTGGATAATATCTACATTTTGTGTTAGCCAAACTCTGAAGCATTCTCAAAACCATAACCTTCCTGGGGTATAGGGGATTTCTGTTACGCTGTCCAACTCATTTGCCAACTTGATTTCTTATGTGGTACTTTTAGTCTTAAGTTTAATGTTGCTGCTGACGGTGGTGGCAGTGGTGGCGGTGTGCCATGGGGTTGATTAGGACTCATAGGGACCCCATATAGGGTTTTCTAGTCTGTAAATCTGTAAGGGAGCGAAAAGCCTCTTCTTTCTTCCTCTGAGATCTTGTTTTACAACTGCTGACCTTGCAGATAGTCACACAACATAACCCACTACGCTCCCAGGGCTCCTGGTGGGAAGCAAAAAATGGAAAAAAACAACTAAAGAACTTTTGTTTCTTGAGACCTCATTTCCTGGGACCTTCCACTTCACTCCTACACCACTCACCACTGTTTCTTTCTACCTCACACTTTAGGCAGGCCCCTTACCTAATTAGAAAATCTTGGTGAATGCTGAGGTCTCAAGTAGAAATTTAGCCAGCCCTTGCCATTCTTTTCCTGTTGATTTCCCCTTTGGTCTCTTGTCTACTTGCCAGCTTGTATTTCTGGTAACAACACGATCATAACAGAAATATAAAAGGTCCAGCCGAACCTATGCGGATGCTGCAAATCCTTCGACTTTTAAACATGCACATTGCTTGATCCTAAGAAGCACAGATTTTGAATCTACTAGTTTTACACTCCCAAGGGATAGTTTGCATCCATTTTGACTTCCCTAGATTTGCTTCTCAAGTATATTTTTATAATTGTCCTATTTTTTGAATTATTCCTCCAAAGCATATTACAGACTTACCCATACTAACTTTTAAAGGAACTTAAGTTTTCCCAGGTAGATTTATAAATAACTTTTGAATTTCATTTATTACATTTGGGGTTTGTTGTTGTTAAGGGCTGTTGAGTCAGTTCTGACCCATAGCGACCCTGTATAGGATTTCCAAGGAGCAGCTGGTTGAGCTTGAACCGCTGACCTTGCAGTTCAAACAGCTTTGCAGTCTGGCATATTAACCCACAGCACCACACCAGGATGCCAATATTTGGGGTAGAAATGCAAATTCTTTGTAGGAGAGGTCAACCAGGAATAAACCCATTGGAAGCCAACCTTTTAAAGTATGTGCTGTTCTATTCCTTAGAAAATTCTGGCAGCGTTGTACTATTAAACTTTGATTAGAATGAGTTTTCTATTGATGTGGAAGGAAACAACTTTTCCACCATCGTTGAGAAAGATAGATTCTGTTTAAAGTATGTCTCAGTGATCTTGCTTCCAGTATAAAATAAGAAACAGATCACATCTAGTATAATCCATCTAGTGCCGAATTTGTTACATAAAAGCCACAAAATACATTTATTCAGACCTCTGATGAGGTTGTGCATGCTCTCACAAAGATTTGCAGGGTTACTTTGAGTTGGAACTGACTGGATGGTTCTGAACAACATCATCTTCCTTTCTACTTAGAGTTCTTTGAAAACAGAATCACTTACTGTGTAGAAAAGAATACTGTTTTCTCAGACAGTAAATTAAAACAAAACGACAACAGTAGCCGAAACAAACACCACCAGCATTTTAGAGCTTGTGTTCTTGGAGATTTTTTTCCTTCACCTTTCACATAGTGCTTTGTAAGTTTCATTTTAGAAGGCAATTTAACTAATTTGCTTCTTGATAAGCAGCACAGTATAATTAGGGAGTCCACCAGGGACAGAAAGTGTCAGAATTGCACAATGGGTTCATTATAAAATAGTGCAAAAGAGGAGCCTGAATTTACCAATTAAAGACAGCAAAAACTGTACAATGAAGTATTAAGGCGAGAAAGATAAAAATAAATATTTTCAGCAGAATGCCTCTATTAATCAATTGTGATCAGTAGTAAGTAGTCAACTGAAAACATAAGCTAATAAAAAGTCAATAAAATGACAATAATGAAAAAAATAGTACATCCTCCTTAAAGATTTTATTTTACATTAAATATATACTCCTTTATGGGTGCTTAGAGATAGCCTCAAAGTGTGTTTCTTTCATTATGGGTGAAGTGATTTGAATTCCTTCAGAAGTCACACCCATGAGCTATGATATCTAATTTTAGAGCTTTAAGTAGAACGGAAATTAAGGGGCTGAATCTGAGTACAGATTCCTTCCTGATTGTTAAAACATTTTCTTTGAATCTTGTATACAAAATTCAAAGAAGTTGTAGTAATTTGACTTTTTCAAATAAATCAACTTATTTTTCAGAAAATGACAATCACCTCTTTGCAATTTTACTTGTGATTTCAAAATAATTAAAAAGACATAATTAAAATAATAAGTACAACTGGTACAGATGATCATATTTTGGTAAGAAATGAATGCAATTGCATGGGCAGAGTGTGGTCAACTGTCCATGGGTGTCCGTCAGTCACTATTCTTCTGTAAAACAGTAGAAAAAGTGTAAAATGTGTTAGTCAATTAAATTATTCTGTCATATGGTGGTGGTGGTGGTGGTGGTTATGTGCCATGGAGTTGGTTCCGACTCATAGCTACCCTGTATAGGGTTACCGAGTCTGTAGATCTTTACAGGAGCAGAAAGCCTCATCTTTCTCCCATGGAATGGCTGGTAGGTTTGAACTGCTCACCCTGAGGTTAGCAGCCAAACTCATAACCACTATGCTACCAGAACTCCTTATTCTGTCATAAATTTGAGGATTTAATTTTTTAAATTAACTTGTATTTTAAAATGATTTTATGGAAAAGTTGCTAAGATAGTGCAGTGTTCCCATATACCCCTCACACAGGTAGCATGTTGACTAAGTATGGCATATGTATCATAACTAATGAACCAGTAGTAATACATTATTATTAACTTAAAACATTTACCATTGCTGTCAACTCATAGCAACACATATGCATCAAAATAAAACTGTGCTCTGTAAGCTTTACCGTGTCTGATCTTTTGGAAATAGTTCACCAGTTCTTAAGAGGCTCCTCTGAAAGGGTTTGGTTAATAACCATTTCAGCCTCGTAGGCAGGTACTGACACTTACTGAAGAGTCAATCCTGACTCACTGTAACTAAACATCTTGTTGTTGTTAGGTGCTGACAAGTTGGCTCTGCCTCCGAGAGACTACCTACACAACAGAACGAAACACTGCCTGGTCCCGTGCCACCTTCATAATTGTTACATTTTGAGTCCTTTACTGTCAGTGCATTTCCTTGGATTCTTTCTCTTTTTCACTGACCCTCCGGCCCTGCCTTTTACCAAGCATCATGTTTTCCAGGGATAGGTCAGAAGTATACTGAGTTCTAAGGAACATTCTAGCTGTTATTCTTTTAAGACGTATTTGTTCTTCTGTCAGTTCCTGGTTCTTTTTAAATTCTTTCTTGTCCAACATCGTAATTCAAATGCAACACCATAATTCTATGGTCTTCATTATTCATTGTCCAACTTTCACATGCATGTGAAGCAACTGAAATTACCATGACTTGGGTCAGGCACACTTTAGTCTTCTAGCTGATATCTATGCACTTCAACACTTTAAAGAGGTCTTTTGCAGAAGATTTGCCTAATGAAATAAGTCCTTTGATTATTATAATCATTATTATTGAATGCTACTTCCAAGAATGTTGACTGTGGTTCCAAGCAAAATTTAGTCTTTGACAACTTCAGTCTTCCTCTACTTACCATAATGTTATTCATTGTCCCAGTTGTGAGGATTTTTGTTTTCTTTACATTTAAGGAGTAATCCATTTTGAAGGCTGCGGTCTTTGATTTGCATTAGCATCTTACGTTCTCTTTGCTTCCAGCAGAAAATACTATATCATCTGTATATCGCGGGTTGTTAGTAAATTTTCCTCTAATCCTGAAACCATGTTCTACTTCATATAATCCATCTTCTCAGATTATCTGCTCAGCATACAGATTGAATAAATATGATGAAAGAATACCATCCTAGCATACATCTTTCCTGATTTGAAACCATTCAGTAGCCTGTTGTTCTTTTAAAACTGCCTCTTGGTCTAGGTACAGATTCCTAATAAGCATAACGAAGTGTTCTGTAATATCCATTCTTTGCCGTGTTATTCATACTTTGCCATGATCCACACAATCAAAAGCCTTTACATAGACAATAAAGCACAAGTAAACACCTTTGCTGTATGCTCTGCTTTCAGCCAAGATCCATCAGATGTCAGCAATGATAAGCGGAGTTCCACATCCTCTTCTGAATTTGGTTTGCATTTCTGACAGTTCCCTTTTGATGTACTCTTGCAATTACAAATATGGATCTCTTCCAATTGGTTTGACAGGTGAGCACCTCCAGTGCAGCATTAATTTGTTAAAAGATTTCAATTTGTTTTCTGTAAATCCCTGGAATCTGGCTTTTTTGTCAATGCCTTCAGTGCAGTTTAGAATTCTTCTTTCAGTATCAGTTGGTTCCAGATCATATGCTACCTCTTGAAATGCTTGAACATGGACCATTTCTTTTTGGTACAATGACTCTGTCTTCCTTCGATGTTTTCTGAATCATTCAGTATTATGTCCATGTTGTTAGAGTACTGTCAAGTTGGTTCCAGCTCGTAGCAACCCTATATAGGGTTTCCAAGGAGCAGCTGGTTGAGTTTGAACCTCCAACATGTGGTTCAAACTGACCTTGCAGTCAAGTGTCTATCCTTAAATATTTCTAATAGAGGGATGATTTTTTTTTTTTCATTTCTTTCAGCTTAAGAAATGTTGGATTTTATAACTCCAGATCTTTGCAGATTTCATTAAAATACTTGACTTTGTCTTCTTGAGCTACCTTTTGAAATTTATAGTCCAAATTTTTTTTTTTTTTTAAACAATAAGCACATTGGTCTTGCTTAAGGCCCTCTTCGTGTCAGAAGTCTTCCCTGGGGCCCCACAGACTTACCTCTAGTGGTCTTTAGGAAGACGGTAACAGCCTGAGACTTCTTGTGCTCTCGGCTGTTATATACCTCCAAGGCGATGTCAACCCGCTGGGATGGATTCATGCCAGTTGCCTTGTCGAATTTCTTCAGTTTCTTTCTAATACATGGGTTGCTGTGGGAGATAAAAGTCATGTTAACCATTAGGATATTTGCTGAGTTCTCGGGATCAAGGTCTGTGTACTTACAGTAAGCCTGGTAGATTCATTCGAAGAGTTCAGAGGAGTCCTCAGTTGGCTTTTGCTGAACTGCCCGTTTAGTAACTCCCTTCTTCAGACCTCTGAGAATGCACCTTTTACAGTGTTCCAGCTGCAACAAGCCTAGTCACTTAGATTCTAATTTGGGTCAGTTAGGCAAATTGCCCTTACTGGAGCCAGGGTCCCATTCGGGTTTTTTTCCATGGATGAGTGCTGCTTCGTTCCATGCCTTATCTCAGACCAGCCTTCTTTCGTCGCTGGTCAGAAGCAGGGTCAACAGAGCCTGATTATCTGCCCAATTAGGATGATGGTTAGCAAAAATCGTGGTTATTAAATTTATCATTTTGGTTGGGTTATGTTGGTGTGGCACTGTGGGTCAATGCGCTGGACCGCAAAGTCTGTCTAAACAGTAAGGGCAGCGATTCAAACTCACCATTTGTTCCTTGGAAACCCCACACAAGATCTCCATGATTCAGAACCAACTTTGTGGCACCTAACAACAACATCTCAGTAGGAATAATTTGAGTTTTTCCTATTTAACAAGTCCAAGGCAGAGGAAGGCGTATGTGCCCAGTAATATTCTGCAGCTTGTCCATCCATATTCAATCCTGTGGGCACCTGTGGAGGTGGGGGGTATTGTCTTGTCTCTGTTCCGGGTAGCCCTTGACTGAAATGGGTCCCTTGAAGAGTATGTTATAGAGAAATCACTTCTAAACTGCTTTCCCCAGTGGTTGAATAAGGTGGGGCTCGTTCGCTAGATCAGGCTATACTTTTCCATACTAGCAGCTGCTGGTGTACCTGGAATCAAAATAAGACAATTCTACAATCAAAAGCTACATTTCACAAAAAAGCAACCATTCATTTCTTTATATATTCACATATAAGCCTGGTTAGAATTCATGTTTTTACCTAACACACGTCTGTATTCAGTTTTTCTCTGCATGACTTTCATGTTGGCTTCATAAACGCATTACATATATGTAACATAACCTACATGCTCTTAGAATTCCAGGTTGTTTTCAGTTTATTAAACATAAATACAGGATAAAAACAAAAACAAAGTAATTTTACAGACAATCTGATGCAGCGATTTGAATAATTCATACTCTAAAATGGTATAATAATTTAAGGATTCATTCAAAGGTTTTTTTTGTTTTGTTTTGTTTTACCCATAATCTGGTTCATACATTGGCCAAGCTGTATTACAGTAAAACATCATTTTATTTTATATCATAGGAGTGTACCTACACAGAGACCAGTCAGACAGAATTTTGCCCTACAGAGCTTTTCTTTGGAATTGAGGCCTATACTCCCATTTTTCGTATTCAGAGGTTAACCTTAACAGAAACAGAAACAGAAGGGACACTTTTAGG